TACATGACCCTACAGTTGTCCTACATGACTCCTGTAGCAGAAGGTCACAGAAATTCTGACCCGGATCTCGTCGTGTTGCGCAAGTTTCCTAGAACCGCCATGTTTGACACGGCAACAAAAGATCACGTGAACCGGAAGCCGACCAAATGTGCCGGCATTAAACCGGCATTGAGCAATGCAGATGTCCATAGCAGGGCACACGACATCATCGAACTAATCGTAGAGTTTGTGGAAGTTTGTGGAAGTTTGTGGTAGTTTATGGTAGTTTGTGGTAGTTTGTGGTAATTTGTGGTAGTTTGTGGTAGTTTGTGGTAGTTTGTGGAAGTTTGTGGTAGTTTGTGGCAGTTTGTGGTAGTTTGTGGAAGTTTGTGGTAGTTTGTGGTAGTTTGTGGAATTTTGTGGTAGTTTGTGGTAGTTTGTGGAAGTTTGTGGTAGTTTGTGGAAGTGTGTGGTAGTTTGTGGAAGTTTGTGGTAGTTTGTGGTAGTTGGTGGTAGTTATGTGGAAGTTTGTGTTAGTTTGTGGAAGTTTGTGGTAGTTTGTGGAAGTTTGTGGTAGTTTGTGGTAGTGTGTGGAAGTTTGTGGAAGTTTGTGGAAGTTTGTGGTAGTTTGTGGAAGTTTGTGGAAGTTTGTGGTAGTGTGTGGAAGTTTGTGGAAGTTTGTGGTAGTTTGTGGAAGTTTGTGGAAGTTTGTGGTAGTGTGTGGAAGTTTGTGGAAGTTTGTGGTAGTTTGTGGAAGTTTGTGGAAGTTTGTGGTAGTTTGTGGAAGTTTGTGGTAGTTTGTGGAAGTTTGTGGAAGTTTGTGGTAGTTTGTGGTAGTTGGTGGTAGTTATGTGGAAGTTTGTGTTAGTTTGTGGAAGTTTGTGGTAGTTTGTGGAAGTTTGTGGTAGTTTGTGGTAGTGTGTGGAAGTTTGTGGAAGTTTGTGGTAGTTTGTGGAAGTTTGTGGTAGTGTGTGGAAGTTTGTGGAAGTTTGTGGTAGTTTGTGGAATTTTGTGGTAGTTTGTGGTAGTTTGTCGTAGTTTATGGAAGTTTGTGGAAGTTTGTGGAAGTTTATGGTAGTTTGTAGAAGTTTGTGGTACTGTGTGGTAGTTTGTAGAAGTTTGTGGTAGTTTGTGGTAGTTTGTGGAAGTTTGTGGAAGTTTGTGGTAGTTTGTGGAAGTTTGTGGTAGTTTGTGGAAGTTTGTGGAAGTTTGTGGTAGTTTGTGGTAGTTGGTGGTAGTTATGTGGAAGTTTGTGGTAGTTTATGGAAGTTTGTGGAAGTTTGTAGTAGTTTGTGGAAGTTTGTGGCAGTTTGTGGTAGTTTGTGGTAGTTTGTGGCAGTTTGTGGCAGTTTGTGGTAGTTTGTGGAAGTTTGTGGTAGTTTGTGGAAGTTTGTGGTAGTTTGTGGTAGTTTGTGGAAGTTTGTGGAAGTTTGTGGTAGTTTGTGGAAGTTTGTGGTAGTTTGTAGAAGTTTGTGGTACTGTGTGGTAGTTTGTAGAAGTTTGTGGTAGTTTGTGGTAGTTTGTGGAAGTTTGTGGTAGTTTGTGGAAGTTTGTGGAAGTTTGTGGTAGTTTGTGGTAGTTGGTGGTAGTTATGTGGAAGTTTGTGGTAGTTTATGGAAGTTTGTGGAAGTTTGTAGTAGTTTGTGGAAGTTTGTGGCAGTTTGTGGTAGTTTGTGGTAGTTTGTGGCAGTTTGTGGCAGTTTGTGGTAGTTTGTGGAAGTTTGTGGTAGTTTGTGGAAGTTTGTGGTAGTTTATGGAAGTTTGTGGAAGTTTGTGGAAGTTTGTGGAATACACCAAGAACAGCAACAAAAAAAAACTAAGAAACAAAAACAAACAAAAATAAATCACTCTATGTACATAAAAATTAAAGTTTGTCTGCTGCGGGCGGACTGACGGACTGGCCGACTTTGTCTTTTATAATCCTAACTCATGAACGCATCGGGTTTTAGTTTTAACTCTGGGAGTGTTTGTGTGAATTTTCTGGCTAAGTCGGTGAAATTTTAAATTGTTTTTAATTTTTCAAATATTTGTATAGGGGGGGTCATCCATAAATGACGTCACACTCGTAGGGGGTCGGGGGGGGGGGGGGGTCGGTAATTTTGTGCGATGTGTGAAGAGGGGGGGGGGGGGGTTCAAATAGTGCGACGTCACACTTTTGCTTTATAGATAAGAAATGTTAGAAAACGAATTTTAGACGTTATTTAGCGTTTTAGAACACAGTTTTAATGAATAATAATAGGAATTTATTAAAATACTCTATTTTGACATATTTCAGACAAGATTTTGGAAAAATATCGATGTTTAAAAAAAAATTCAACTGCAATTTTGAGGGGGTTGTAGGCTGAGGTGTGACGTCATTTTGGGGGGGGGGGGGTCTGGCTTTTTGTGACGACGTGTGACGGAGGGGAGGAGGGGAGGTAAAAATCGTCCAAAAAAGCGTGACGTCATTTATGGATGACCCCTGGCCGTTATAGGCGACCTCATTTCCGCCATTTTTAAGTCCTACATGACCCCTACAGTCTTCATTATTGAAATATTTTGCGCTGCGTTCAACGACTGTGCTATTTAGTTTCTTATTTATAGACTTCCGTATTTCCCTATTTAGTATAAATTAAACATTCTGAAATACAAACCGGTATGAGGATATGATAAAATTAAATATTTACATTAATTTAAAATGCTACTATTATTATAATTCAGGTTTTACCATTATTTGTTAAAAAGACCTTCAAAGCTGCATTGTTTGCTAATTATTGTTTATTTTATCACTACTTAAAACCTCATTTCCGCCGTTTTAGTTCTGCTTAATTTAATTTTAATTTGACGTGCAGTGCTCAGCGCCATGTCAATTTAGTCTCTTATTTACAGACTGTCTGTATTCATCTGTTTAGTCTTTTTATTTTATATAACATTCTAAATAATAACTAACGGTGTTGCTATAATAATGAAACAGGTTTTATTTATTTTTTTTTTTTTCAAAGCTCAACACATCTACATTGTTTACTAATTATTTATTTTTTCAAAGCTCAACACATCTGCATTGTTTACTAATTATTTATTTTTTCAAAGCTCAACACATATGCATTGTTTACTAATTATTTATTTTTTTCAAAGCTCAACACATCTGCATTGTTTACTAATTATTTATTTTTTCAAAGCTCAACACATCTGCATTGTTTACTAATTTTTTTTTTTTTCAAAGCTCAACACATATGCATTGTTTACTAATTATTTATTTTTTCAAAGCTCAACACAACTGCATTGTTTACTAATTATTTATTTTTTCAAAGCTCAACACATCTGCATTGTTTACTAATTATTTATTTTTTCAAAGCTCAACACATCTGCATTGTTTACTAATTATTTATTTTTTCAAAGCTCAACACATCTGCATTGTTTACTAATTATTTATTTTTTCAAAGCTCAACACATCTGCATTGTTTACTAATTATTTATTTTTTCAAAGCTCAACACATCTGCATTGTTTACTAATTATTTATTTTTTCAAAGCTCAACACATCTGCATTGTTTACTAATTATTTATTTTTTCAAAGCTCAACACATCTGCATTGTTTACTAATTATTTATTTTTTCAAAGCTCAACACATCTGCATTGTTTACTAATTATTTATTTTTTCAAAGCTCAACACATCTGCATTGTTTACTAATTATTTATTTTTTCAAAGCTCAACACATCTGCATTGTTTACTAATTATTTTTTCTATTCCCAGGCAGTATTTAAAAAGATTTGATGAGATGGGGTTGGTGTTACGATAGGTCACATTTGGTCCTTTATTGTATCATGATAGTATTAAGGTCAGTTTATATGGGTTTGATACTAAGTATAGATTGATATTATGTAAGTGTCATTAAATTTCAAAATGTGTTTAAAAAAATAGTTGGTTTATTATTTAAGTTGAACAAATTAGGAATGTAATTTGTGGCCATTTATCGGTTGGTTTATTTGTCTTTTCATGTTTTGTCGCATTCGGGCAAATGTCCTTTCGGGCTTTTGTCGTTTTCGGGCAAGTGTCCATTCTTAAAAACTGATTTCATGAAAACGGCTTTAGGGTGTCTTTCGGGAATTGGCCGTAGACCAGTTAGGAATAGGTTTGTTTAGGTTTAAATATAGGTATATGTTTAGTAATATGTGTATGTGTAGGAGTAGGAGTTGGAGTTTATGTTAATGTTTGTGGTTGTGGTTGATTGGGGGGTGGGGGTTGGTTTATGTTATTGTTTATGTTCATGTTTGAGCTTGTAGTTTTAAAATGTTTTTTAATCCAAATTTTTCCCAGTAATTTAAAGTTTTAATACAATAGAGCTGCATGACTAAAAACTATTGTACACCAAATGAACATGATAATGCGCGGATAGTAATAAGACATCCTACACATTTTAGAAAATTTTAAGTAATTTATTATAAAGTAAAATAGGCATCCAATTAAGTCAAATTTGATGTCAGATTGCATTCTATTTCCTACGTGCGGAATTTCAGATAAATCGGTCTGTTAAAAAGTGCTCGAAATTTCTTTCGCCTGTTTCGATTTCTGACGAACAACAGAGGAATAAAATTAAATAAAAGTTTGTAAAAACCAACGGCTCTCTAGCAGTAAAAAACCTAAATGACTGGTCTAGCAGTAAAAAACCTAAATGACTGGTCTAGCAGTAAAAAACCTAAATGACTGGACTAGCAGTAAAAAACCTAAATGACTGGTCTAGCAGTAAAAAACCTAAATGACTGGTCTAGCAGTAAAAAACCTAAATGACTGGACTAGCAGTAAAAAACCTAAATGACTGGTCTAGCAGTAAAAAACCCCAAATATTTGGTCTAGCAGTAAAAAACCTAAATGACTAGTCTAGCAGTAAAAAACCTAAATGACTTGTTTAGCAGTAAAAAAACCTAAATGACTGGTCTAGCAGTAAAAAACCTAAATGACTGGTCTAGCAGTAAAAAACCTAAATGACTGGTCTAGCAGTAAAAAACCTCAATGACTGGTCTAGCAGTAAAAAAACAAACGTACCGTTCATGTCGAACTTGTCCACACAGACAGGACTGAGTGAGTACTCCTCCACACAGAACTTGAGCCATGCTTTCACCTCAGACTTTGACCACTGGACCGGTGGACGGGCTAAAATAAAAGGCAGGTACGTCTGCTCATTAGTCCAGTGTGTACACGTGGTCTCCGTCCAGTTTGTACACATTCTCTCGTCATCCCAACCTCGCATCTCTAGCGATACAATCATATACAATCATTTATGTCCCCACAAGACCAGGATACAGTCGCCTCCCCTGGCCCGACCCCCTGGCCCGACCCCCTGTTCTGGGAAGAGTATATTTAAGTTTCAGCGAAATAAAGCAGTCATCCATATCTTATGTCAAATCTGCTGGGTAGATCCAGAACTTCAGACAATGTGCTGGTTGTGGTGGCGCAATACTCGGTGACACGGCCATGACCCGACACCCAAACAACTCAGGGTGGGGGGGGGGGGGGTCATAGCGGCTTTACTGGATGCGGGTGGGGGGGAGGTGAAGGCGTCACATCTAAATTTTACCTCGACAGACACACACACACTTACCTGAAGTTTACTTAGACAAACACACACTCACCTGAAGTTTACCTGGACAAACACACACACACTTACCTGAAGTTTACCTAGTTAAACACACACTCACCTGAAGTTTACCTAGACAAACACACACACACTCACCTGAAGTTTACCTAGATAAACACACACTCACCTGAAGTTTACCTAGACAAACACACACACACTCACCTCAAGTTTACTTAGACAAACACACACTCACCTGAAGTTTACCTGGACAAACACACACACACTCACCTGAAGTTTACCTAGACAAACAAACACACACTCACCTGAAGTTTACCTAGACAAACACACACACACTCACCTGAAGATTACCTGGACAAACACACACACACACACACACCTGAAGTTTACCTAGACAAATACACACACACCTGAAGTTTACCTAGACAAACACACACACACCTGAAGTTTACCTAGACAAACACACACGCACCTAAAGTTTACCTAGACAAACACACACTCACCTGAAGTTTACCTAGACAAACACACACACACTCACCTGAAGTTTACCTAGACAAACACACACTTACCTGAAGTTTACCTAGACAAACACACACTCTCACCTGAAGTTTACCTAGACAAACACACACTCACCTGAAGATTACCTGGACAAACACACACTCACCTCAAGTTTACCTAGACAAACACACACACTCACCTCAAGTTTACCTGGACAAACACACACACTCACCTGAAGTTTACCTAGACAAACACACACACTCACCTGAAGTTTACCTAGACAAACACACACTCACCTGAAGATTACCTGGACAAACACACACACACACACACCTAAAGTTTACCTAGACAAACACACACACACTCACCTGAAGTTTACCTAGACAAACACACACACACTCACCTGAAGTTTACCTAAACAAACACACACACACTCACCTGAAGTTTACCTAGACAAACACACACACACTCACCTGAAGTTTACCTAGACAAACACACACACACTCACCTGAAGTTTACCTAGACAAACACACACACTCACCTGAAGTTTACCTAGACAAACACACACACACCTGAAGTTTACCTAGACAAACACACACACTCACCTGAAGTTTACCTAGACAAACACACACACTCACCTGAAGTTTACCTAGACAAACACACACTCTCACCTAAAGTTTACCTAGACAAACACACACACACACCTAAAGTTTACCTAGACAAAAACACACTCACCTTAAGTTTACCTAGACAAACACACACACTCACCTGAACTTTACCTAGACAAACACACACTCACCTGAAGTTTACCTAGACAAACACACACACACACCTGAAGTTTACCTAGACAAACACACACACTCACCTGAAGTTTACCTAGACAAACACACACTCACTTGAAGTTTACCTGGACGAACACACACACACTCACCTGAAGTTTACCTAGATAAACACACACTCACACCTGAAGTTTACCTAGACAAACACACACACTCACCTGAAGTTTACCTAGACAAACACACACACACCTGAAGTTTACCTAGACAAACACACACACTCACCTGAAGTTTACCTAGACAAACACACACACTCACCTGAAGTTTACCTAGACAAACACACACTCACCTGAAGTTTACCTAGACAAACACACACACTCACCTGAAGATTACCTGGACAAACACACACACACACACACACCTGAAGTTTACCTAGACAAACACACACTCTCACCTGAAGTTTACCTAGACAAATACACACACACCTGAAGTTTACCTAGACAAACACACACACACCTAAAGTTTACCTAGACAAACACACACACACACCTGAAGTTTACCTAGACAAACACACACACTTACCTGAAGTTTACCTAGACAAACACACACACCTGAAGTTTACCTAGACAAACGCACACACTCTCACCTGCAGTTTACCTAAACACACACACACTCACCTGAAGTTTACCTAGACAAATACACACACACCTGAAGTTTACCTAGACAAATACACACACACCTGAAGTTTACCTAGACAAACACACACACACCTAAAGTTTACCTAGACAAACACACACACACTCACCTGAAGTTTACCTAGACAAACACACACACACTCACCTGAAGTTTACCTAGACAAACACACACACACTCACCTGAAGTTTACCTAGACAAATACACACACACATGAAGTTTACCTAGACAAATACACACACACCTAAAGTTTACCTAGACAAACACACACTCTCACCTGAAGTTTACCTAGACAAATACACACACACCTGAAGTTTACCTAGACAAACACACACACACTCACCTAAAGTTTACCTAGACAAAAACACACACACCTGAAGTTTACCTAGACAAACACACACACACACCTAAAGTTTACCTAGACAAACACACACACACTCACCTGAAGTTTACCTAGACAAACACACACACACTCACCTGAAGTTTACCTAGACAAACACACACACACACACCTAAAGTTTACCTAGACAAACACACACACACTCACCTGAAGTTTACCTAGACAAACACACACACACTCACCTGAAGTTTACCTAGACAAACACACACACACTCACCTGAAGTTTACCTAGACAAATACACACACACATGAAGTTTACCTAGACAAATACACACACACCTAAAGTTTACCTAGACAAACACACACACTCACCTGAAGTTTACCTAGACAAATACACACACTCACCTGAAGTTTACCTAGACAAATACACACACTCACCTAAAGTTTACCTAGACAAACACACACACTCACCTGAAGTTTACCTAGACAAATACACACACACCTAAAGTTTACCTCGACAAACACACACACACACCTGAAGTTTACCTAGACAAACACACACACTCACCTGAAGTTTTTCTAGACAAACACACACACACACTCACCTGAAGTTTACCTAGACAAACACACACACACTCACCTGAAGTTTACCTAGACAAACACACGCACACTCACCTGAAGTTTACCTAGACAAACACACACTCTCACCTGAAGTTTACCTAGACAAACACACACACACACACCGAAGTTTACCTAGACAAACACACACACTCACCTTAAGTTTACCTAGGCAAACACACACACTCACCTCAAGTTTACTTAGACAAACACACACTCACCTGAAGTTTACCTGGACAAACACACACTCACCTCAAGTTTACCTAGACAAACACACACACTCACCTCAAGTTTACTTAGACAAACACACACTCACCTGAAGTTTACCTAGACAAATACACACACACCTAAAGTTTACCTCGACAAACACACACACTCACCTGAAGTTTGCCTAGACAAACACACACACTCACCTGAAGTTTTTCTAGACAAACACACACACACTCACCTGAAGTTTACCTAGACAAACACACACACACTCACCTGAAGTTTACCTAGACAAACACACACTCTCACCTGAAGTTTACCTAGACAAACACACACACACACACCGAAGTTTACCTAGACAAACACACACACACACTCACCTAAATTGCTGGGCACCAATGACACGTATGTGGAGGTCATGGCTGAGGTCTTGCTGGGGTCAAGGACGGGCTGTGTCCAGGCTAGCATCCCGACCTGAGGGGAGGGAGACAAGAGCTCATGACGTCACGATGGTCGAGATCTCGGCTACACTGTATGGCAAGACATTTGACACATACAATATACATATACTACAAATAGGGCCTAATTCCACGTGAAAGACACGTGGCTACATGTCATCTAGAGGACAATGTCAACGTGACAGGCTACATGTCATCTAGAGGACAATGTCAACGTGAGAGGCTACATGTCATCTAGAGGACAATGTCAACTTCAGAGGCTACATGTCATCTAGAGGACAATGTCAACGTGAGAGGCTACATGTCATCTAGAGGACAATGTCAACGTCAGAGGCTACATGTCATCTAGAGGAGAATGTCAACGTGAGAGAATACAAACGTCAAATACATCGTCAAAGAGAATACAAATACAAATACATGCACGAATGGCGTGTAGCTTAGGTCCCCAAACCTTTCGAGTGCCGACCCCTTTTTTTTTTAAAGCAGTGACCCTCGACTTGCAATTTTAAAACAATTTGTTTCTTTTAGTGTACAAGTCAGATAGTTTGTTTTAGTGTACAAGTCAGATAGTTTGTTTTAGTGTACAAGTCAGATAGTTTGTTTTAGTGTACAAGTCAGATAGATTTGGAACTGGTGGTCTAGAAGCAGCTTGTTAGCCTAAAAAGTTAATTCAAATTTTCTGTTTACAGGCTTGAAAATGTTGTTTCAAATTTTCTGTTTACAGGCTTGAGAATGTTGGTTCAAACTTTCTGTTTACAGGCTTGAGAATGTCGGTTCAAACTTTCTGTTTACAGGCTTGAGAATGTCGGTTCAAACTTTCTGTTTACAGGCTTGAGAATGTTGGATAAAACTTTCTGTTTACAGGCTTGAGAATGTCGTTTCAAACTTTCTGTTTACAGGCTTGAGAATGTTGGTTAAAACTTTCTGTTTACAGGCTTGAGAATGTTGGTTAAAACTTTCTGTTTACAGGCTTGAGAATGTTGGTTCAAATTTTCTGGTTACAGGCTTGAGAATGTTGGTTCAAATTTTCTGTTGTTTACAGGCTTGAGAATGTTGGTTCAAATTTTCTGTTTACAGGCTTGAGAATGTTGGTTCAAATTTTCTGTTTACAGGCTTGAGAATGTTGGTTCAAATTTTCTGTTTACAGGCTTGAGAATGTTGGTTCAAATTTTCTGTTTACAGGCTTGAGAATGTTGGTTCAAACTTTCTGTTTACAGGCTTGAGAATGTTGGTTCAAACTTTCTGTTTACAGGCTTGAGAATGTTGGTTTTGTAAAATACTAGCAGACTAGTTGAACTATTTTGTCAAATTGTGTAAAATACTAGCAGACTAGTTGAACTATTTTGTCAAATTGTGTAAAACACTAGCAGACTAGTTGAACTATTTTGTCAAATTGTGTAAAACACTAGCAGACTAGTTGAACTATTTTGTCAAAATGTGTAAAATACTAGCAGACTAGTTGAACTATTTTGTCAAATTGTGTAAAATACTAGCAGACTAGTTGAACTATTTTGTCAAATTGTGTAAAACACTAGCAGACTAGTTGAACTATTTTGTCAAATTGTGTAAAACACTAGCAGACTAGTTGAACTATTTTGTCAAATTGTGTAAAATACTAGCAGACTAGTTGAACTATTTTGTCAAATTGTGTAAAATACTAGCAGACTAGTTGAACTATTTTGTCAAATT